TTTGCACGCGAGGCGTCAACCAGCTGCACCCCAAGGTTTCCCTGCAGGTACCGCACCACTTGCACCATCTCTTCGGGTGTCAGATCAGCAAAGACCAGGCTCTGGCCGTCATCGGTGTCCTCCTGCTCCGGGGGCTGGTGCTGGCAGGTGCTGGGGGCCCTTCCTCTGGTCAGCAACACACAGACTAAAGCAAATATCGTGGCTAAAGCCAGAACGAGGAGGATGAGCACGGTTTTCACGTTCATGTCTGCTGAGGCACTGAGAGCTCCCGCAGTCCGGCAGGGCGGGTTTCCAGCTGCAGAATCCTCCCAGTGACCCGCTGACAGAAGGGGCTGGGTTTGGTTGGGTTTGGTTTTTCCCTCGTTTTTTCAACGGGGAACAGCCCAGAGGAGCTCACAGGGAGGGCGCAGAGGGATGTTCTCAGACATGCCCAGGATTTGCTGGGAACCATAAAAGGCAACTTTGCTCTGCTTTCCCCAGTGGGTCATAAATTTAAGCAAACTTAATGCTTTTGCATCTGTCCTTCCCCTCTTGTCCCACACGCTATGCTACAGACCTTGGAGAGGACACATACAGTCACTTGGGGGAAATAAATGCATCTCCCTGCATCTCCTTCTCTTAACTCTGCAGACGCAAACAGCCAGGCAGGCAGCAGAGACCACAAGGATGATGCTCCTCTGTGCAGAGCACTGCTGAGCAGAGCACCATGGCCTCATCCTGCCACGGCCCTGCAGTCACCAGCAACGCCTCTACAGCCTGTGCAGAGACATCACAGCATTGCACGCTGCTGCTGACGACCTCACATGTGGGGAAGGCACCAGTCCTGCAGCCGGGAAGGAGGGAGGGGACAGCTGCTCGTCACCCCCCCAAAGGTGCCTCCTGATCCTGGGCTACGTCCCGGCATAGACAGGGCTGCGAGGGGGGGACAAGGGCTCCAGAGCCCACCGAGCATCCCGGCAAATGGGCAGCGGCACTGGCCGTGCTGCACCACCAGCAGCCGCATGGCTCCTGCGCCCTGGCTGGAGCCTGGAGGAGGTCTCTCGTGTGAACCTGGCCAGCATCGGGCTGCGATGGGCCGAGCTGGCCCACGCGCTGCCCGTGGGGCTGAGGTTCAGCTGGTTCGTGCAGAGGCACCCGTGGGGACGGTGCTGGCCCAGGGACAGCGAGACCCCTCCCTGCAATAGTCCCCTCTGTTCCCCTCACCTGCACCCAGCGGCAAGCGCCCGAGAGCTGCAGCCCAAGCGGGTCCTGGCTCTGTCCCCAGCCTCACCCCGAGCACACACAGAGCTTGGTGCCAGCGCCCGCCTTGGTCCTCCCCCCAGAGCCCCGGACTCTCCAGCCTGTCCCTCCTGCCCTCTGGCCGGACCGTTCCCGTGCCCGGACAGGCACCCAGAGCCTCGCTGCTGGGCTGGTCTGTGGGGGCAAGAAACACAGTGGAGACCCAGCATCATCCCCCAAGCAGACGCTGCTGTAAGTCGTAAGAACGAGACACTCGAGAGAGCACTGGACCAGAATTATTTTCATCTTTTTAACCTGAGATAGGCACTACACAGCACTTGCTTCTACAGCAGAGGAACAGGATTTTCTCCTCACTTTCCTCCTGCAACAGACTCAAATTCAGCAATTAACAGAGAAAATGTAGACTCCCATCTGGCATCATGCCAGGCAGATAATGCTTCCCTTTTAAAGAGCACTATTTTAAAAGCAATGATAAAAAGTAAAGTCATTGCACAACTGGAAATTGAGACAACTTCACTAAAAAAATGAAAGTCTGAGACAGAACAGTCAACCTGGTGTCTCTGACTGTGTCTCCTAACACCGTCCTGTAGCGTTAAAACCTGCTCATATTTTGGAAACCATCATAGGTGAACGGGGGGAAGTTTGGCAAACAAGAGGCAGTTTTGGGCAAGCATGCAATAGGGTTGATTTCACATGCCGTGAAATCCTGCTCGCTGGTGAAAAACACGCCATCGTGCGAGTATATGGAGGGGTCCAGGTCATAGTAGTTGTAGGGTCTCAGGAGAAAGCCAACCGAGTTTCCGACCGTCACAGTGTTGGGAATATCCTCAGAGTGCGGGATGTGAAGGAAACCAGCGGTTATCCAGGCAACGAGGTCCTAGGCAGGGAGGAGCCACAAGACTGCGGTTATTTCAGAAGCCTGGAACAGGAGCAACCAAAATCTGGGCAGGGGCCATGGAAAGTTACAGGAGAGCAGGAGGGGACCTCCACGGGCACCAGTTCGGCTGCATTCCCACATGCTGAGCTCCCCCCTCCCCGGAAAGATCCCCTCCCTTCTCCAAAGACCTGCCCGTGGCCACGGCTGCAGATATCCACCGAGCAGATGGGCCCTTGCCCTGACCCCCATGGCCAAACCCCAGCCTCACAGAGATTTTCCTGATGTTTTGCCAGCATTTCTCCATAGGGAGAAACAAGCTCCTGCTCTGCACTCTGATCTACACACTCTGACCAAAGCACCAAGCAGATACACAGAAAAGGGGATGCTCAAACCCGCTTTCCTCATTCCCCGGGGCTGCTGCTCTCCCAGCTGAGCCCACTGTCCTGCGGGTGATGCCAAGGTTGCTCGGCCTCTGGGGCAGCTCCCGCTCAGCCCGGGGCTGGGTATTACAGCTCCAGCCCAGGGTACCCCCGCCCACCTCGTTGGTGATGGTCTCGTTGTTGATGAAGTTGGCAAAGGCGACGGTGGGCGTCCAGGGGTCATTCTGGTTGTAGATGCTGGTGCTGGTGGGCTCCTCCTCCTTCCGCCTGGTGACAGCCAGCTGGTACCTGAGAACAAGAAAAGAGATGGGAGCAGTCCCCTGGGGCAGGGCAGAGCTAAAAGCCAACTCCCCAGAGAGTCTGCAGAGCACAAGCCTGCTCCTACGGAGTAACCCCAGCCCAGGAGAGCGTCTGCCCTGTGCCTCCCCATCAAGGAACATCCGTGCGATGCCTCCCCAGCCGGCGGGGCTGGGGGCGTCTCTGAGAACGTGCCGTCCCAGTCAGAGCAGCCTGACCTTGCCCAGCTGATGGCCTTCTCCATGGAGCTGGCTTCAGGGACATGGTCCCCTGCAAAACTGGTGATCTGGATCCTGTAACCACGCTGGTGGCCCCACTTGTTTTTGCTGTTGGCCGCGAAGTAGATGTATCTGGGCATCTTCGACTGGAGCCGGAAGGCAGCCTGGTCCTCTGTGTCCAGGACTTTCTTGGTGAGTCGTGGCCGCTCTATCTGCTGCTCCGGGCTCCAGGGAGCCCGCGCCATCTCAAACGCCATGTCATGGGCCACGAGGGAGTTTTTCACCCCTGCGAAGCAAAAGCAAAGTCGCTGAGGAACGTCCCCACAGCCATCACTGCAGCCAGAGCTTGCTCTCCCCATCCTCCCTTCCTGCACCCTGGGCCCTGAGCACTGGCTCCTGCCCGCGAGAGCAGTTACCGCTCCGCAACTCCACGGCAGCATGACTGCACATCGTGTACTTTTTCTACGGCTCTATGACTGTACGTTTGTCTGACCCAGGCAACACCACACTGTGGCAGAGACCACCACCCATGGGGACTCTCCCCCTCTGCAAGGGACAAGAGGGGAGCCTTGTCCCAGTGCAGAAGAACAGGTTTGCGTCCCAGTGCAAGCATAGTCTAATTAACTCAAGCACCTGATGGCCCAGGCACTGTGTGTGTGCTCATCAGCATGCATCCTGCAAGCTGGAAAGCAGTAGAAGTGCCCAGGCTCTGAGACATTTGCACATCACAAAACTGGAGCAGTGCTGCGCAGTTCAGGTCTTTCCACAAAGAAGAGTCATGAGTCAGACACTCAGAGCAACAGGAGGGGCACAAGAGCAAATAAATCTGGGGACAAGACGGCAAAGAGCTGCCTGAGAGCGCTTGAGGGCCAGGACCAGCACGGCTATGGCAGAGGGACCAGTGCTCGCACCCGCTGCCTGTGCCGGCCGGAGCACATGGTGCAACACCCTCCCATGCTCCACTCCCCTCAGCCCCACGCGAGTTTCCAGCTTGCATAAAGGCCATTTCAGAGCTGAACCTCTGGCCATCCCGGAAGGTTTGAGCAGTGCCTTGGGCCTGAGTCCCAGGGCTGCCATCGAGGTCAGCACCAGAGCCCCACAGAAGAGGATCCACGCCCAGCAGCTGCCACTGTGCTCATTTTCTTCCCTTTTCTAATGTGAACAAAACTTCTAACCCCACACCTTCCCTTCCAGTGATAGCAGTGACACTCAGATTTCATCTGCCTTTTCCCTGTTCTTGCAGTTTTGCAATCCCCCGTTTTTACTTAAGTACTCAAAACTCATCCTAAAACCATATGAACAGTCTTTAAATTTGCGTTTCCCAGTTAAAAGGAATTTGGGAAATTTTTAATAGATGGCAGGAGCAGGCAGCAAATGCAATTTCAGCAGGTGTGTGAGGACAGATTTGTGGCATAAATGGTAGGGGAAGACCTAGAAAATTGCAGCTGATGCTCCCATTGCTGCTGTGAGCAAAGGACCCCTTGTACCCCTGGCAAAACGCAGCACAGCCCTAAGCTCAGAGCTGGCCGCCAGCCCAGCATCTGCCTGCTGTGCCCGCAGCCCTACGGAGGGGGCAGCTGCCAGTCCCACTCACACACGAGCAGCAGGAACAGCTCGACAAAGCTGTAGGAACTAGGAATGTGAGCTGGAAACCACATCCCAACAAACCAGCTTGATCAACTCCGACTGTCATTTGGGGCTCAGGACAGGGGCAGGGCGCGGAGGGAAAAATCCTGACTCTTGCAGAGCCCCAGAGGCACGGAGGCCAATGGGGCAGGGCCGGGGCTGGGTCTGACAGCCCAGGCAGGAGGGGAAGGACCCCTTCCCACTAGGGGCATGGGCTGGTCACACTGTGGTGCTGGTGTTACCCAGCCCAGGAAGCCACAGCTCTGCACGACACTTATGGGTAACTGCACGGGACAGAGGGGGAACCTCTCCCTGTAGGACAACAGCTTCTCACTGCTCTAAAAACAGAAGGGAGGCAGCTCTGTGTCAGCACACCATGCTACCCCACGTACAGAAAGAAAAATCTGTATAAGGACCAAAAAATTTCAACTTTTGGGAGTCTAAAACTACTCAGGGAGGGCACAAAGGAGAGACAAGACCCAGACCTACCTCCCACGTCCAAGTCCACTTTATAGTTGATGGAATGGGTGCGTATTGTACCCAGCGTGTGCTCCCAAACCCTATTGCCGTATCTCAGACCATCCCCATGGAGAAAGGATGAGCTCGCG